GTAGAGATGAGGTCTTGCTACCCAGGCGGGTCTCGAACCCGCAGGCTCAGGCAATTCACTTACCTCAGCCTCCCAAAGGCGCGGGATTACAGGCTGAGACACCAAGCCCGGCAGTCCCATTTTTTTTTTTTTGCACCCATCACCACCATCTGTCTCCAGAACTTTTTTTTATCTTCTCAAGAGAAACTCTATACCCATTAAACAATAACTCTACCCACTGCCCCAGCACCTGGCAAACACCATTCTGCTCCTCAGCTACTATTAGACTCAGTTTCTTCTTTCATTTAACAAAAGAGGTTAGCTCAGCATGGTGGCATATTCCTGTAGTCCCAGATTCTTGAGAGGCTGTGACGGGGTTGGGGAGGGGATATGCCCTGAGCACAGGAGGTCAAGGCTGCGGTGCTCATAGAATGACACTCCAGCCTGGGCAACAGAGTGAGACCCCCAACTCAAAACTAACTAAATAAATACATATATACCTACACAAACATACTTACGTAAAAGAAAGTGTCCACTGCTGACTAATGGGATTGCTTCTATACCTGGGATCTTCTCATATATGAGTGATTGAGTTTATTATCGTGAAAGGTCACAGGAATGGGGTTGTAGAAAGAAAAGAGGCAGAAACACACATGGAGGAGGGTTTTCAAAATTGGTGTCCTGTACACGGGCCTCAGCAGCCCTGCCACAGATCTGCCTGATTTCTTTCCCATCAACAAGTTGATCTTGGGAGCTGTTTACAGTGTAGACCCGCAGGCAGTTTTCATAGTTTTCTTACACTTGCTGGCTACATGGCTTATGATAGTAGCACCAAAACTTAATATCCTCAATGAACCATCCATGGTAAGGATTCTGACTACCTGCATGCATCTTTCACATTCTCTTCCTGTACCATCACAGTCCTGGTAATGAACTACAGATATTTTGTCTTGACCTTGGATTTAAGTCCCTGCCTGGCCACACCCAGCCAGCCCAAAGCCATCTAGAATACAATTTTAAAGTTAAAGGTTTTGTCCACCTTCCCAGTGCACTTCTAGTGAATTGAAATTATATTATATTTAGAAATTATTGACTTAAGTTTGCTAAAATATCAAGATAGTTTATCTCAAAAGTTGTTTGAGGTTAAGTTGCCTCAACTGTAGAATAGGATAACAAGTATAAGGAAAGATACAACGCACATCTATTTTTTTAAAGTTATTGCTTTCTTTAAAGCAATTTATAGCAGGATTTGGCCTTCCACAATTCCACATCCTGTGCTTGTATTCCAGCACTATGGGATGCAGAGGCAAAAGGACCTGAGCTCAGGTGTTCAAAACCAACATGGGAAACTTGGCAAGACCTCGTGACTACAATAAATTAAAAAATTAGTCAGGCATGGTGGTGCATGCCTGTCGTTGCAGTTACTTGGGAGGCTGAAGGGTTTGAGACCAGACTGGGTCTGAGACCAACCCAAACCTTGTCTCTACAATAAATCAATAAATTAGCCAAGCGTGGCAGTGCACACCTGTAGTTTGAGCTACTTGGGAGGCTGAGATAGAAGGATCACCTGAGCCCAGTCAGTCGAGGCTGCAGTGACCTGAGTGTGTCATTGCAGTCCAGTGAGACTTGGACTCAAAAAAAAAAAAGTCTTTGGAATTGCTCACAAGGCTAACTGTCCCACTGGAGCAGATGTAAAATAGAATGAAAAAGCAGTTCAGTTCGGAGACAGTATGAAATCTCAAATTTCTTTGAGGCAGAGTTTTTTATTTCACATTCTATTTGCACTCCCTTCACAGATGATTTCAGGGCTTTTAAATTAAGTAACAAGTGAATTTTAATGGCAAGGACAACTTTCACACATCCCGTGGACTCACCGCACTACCCCCTGACCCTCTCATCCCCAAACCATATCCCCCACCAAATCCCAGCTCCCAGAATATAATGGAAGTGTTCGACATCAGACTCACTAACAGGAGGGGATCCAACCAACCTACGGGCAAAAATTGTTTTAACTTAAACCATTTTCAATGTGGAAAGAAGAAAACATTTTAGCTTTCAACGTAAGTGGCCCACATAACTCTGTGCTTTTACCTTAAAACTGTGAAGCATTAAAGCTGCCCATCAAGACATGACATACATGCCAGTGTTATCAATGCTGGAAAACTGAGCCTGAGTGGGACCAAAACCAAGAAAACCTCAGGCCCCATCACTCCTGACTAGTTCATTAGCCCCTTTCCCCTATCCCCTTTTCTCTTGATGTTAGAGATTATTTTGCCAGGCGCAGTGGTTCACATCTGTAATACCAGGATTTGGGATGGCTAAGGCAAGAGGATTGCCTGAGTTCAGAGTTTCTTTTTTTTGTTTGTTTTGTTTGAGTTGGAGTCTCACTCTGTCACCCAGACTGGAGTGCAGTGGCCGCTCCCAGCCAACACAGTCTAAATCTGCTGGGCCCTGGTGATCCTTCCGCCTCAGACTTCCAGGTAGCTGGAACTACGGGTGCGCACTACCACACCCGGCTAATTTTTGATTTATTGTAGAGATGAGGTCTCGCCAAGTTGCCCAGGCAGGTATCAAACCCACGGGCTCAGGCAATCCACTCACCTCAGCCTCCAAGCCTGGGCAATATTGTGAGACCTTGTCTCTAATAATAAATAAAAAAATCAGCCCGGTGAGGTGGTGTGCACCTATAGTCCTAGTGTTACAGCCCAATCCAATAAATCAGACTGTTATCTCTCACAGTCAATTAAAATATGAGAGGCAGAGACGGGGATAAAAGGGAGTGTTTTATGTCTGTAAGCAGATTATAGGGACATGTTGGCATCATTGTCAAAAAACTCACTGCCTGCTGGGCATGGTGGCTCAAGCCTGTAATCCCAGCACATTGGGAGGCCGAGGTGAGAAGATTGCCTGAGACCATGGGTTCAAGACCAACCCAGGCAATTTGGAGAGACCTCATCTCTAAAATAAATTTTTAAAAAATTAGTCGTGTGTGGTAGCGCGTGCCTGTGGTTCAGGCTACTTGCGAGGCTGAGGCGGAAGGATTGCCTGAGCCCGGCTGGTTGACTTTGGGGTGGTCGTGAGCATGCAACTGCACTCCACCCAGACTCCAACTCAAAAAAAAAAAAAAAAAGCTCATGCCCAGTAACACAAAGGTACTCCAGTATTTATGCCCCAAATTTATAGCCTTTCACCCACCCTTATTTTGAGGTCTACGTATAGTTTTAGCATGACTCAAGATTGATGTTGACAATTTTTTATGCATGATCACTGACATGACACTGTCTCCTGCCAGGCACACAGAATAAGACTTCGACTCCACCCCCCCCACTACCCCCCTTCAAAAAGTTACTTTGATATAGTGGGTTCATGCATAAGTTCATAGTGCTGTAAACTTGTCCATGGTCTGCAAATGTCACATGATAACTGGTCATAGTTCATCACATTTGCCAATTTTCCAGCTGAATGACGTGAATTAAAGCATTTAAACGATCGTCATCAAAGCTCAATGGTTTTCTCAAACATGGAGAACCACTCAGGTCAAAGTGGCCCTCTTTGAAACGACAACACCATTTCCTTGCTATACTATCCCCAGTGCCATTCTCCCAATGCATGACCCAAATGTTTTGGGCTGTCTCCATTTCTCCATGGATGAAATCTTCCACTTGTAGGGATGTGAGAGAAAAACATACATCATAAGAGATGTGAATTTACAGATATGGCTTATTATTGCCAGTAGAAACTGTCATTTAACATTTTTAAATCTAGTTTTACTTTCTTAAGGGTTCAGGTGAAAGAAACTATCCCCCCATAAACTATCTTTAGAAATATCATGAAATTAATTATTAATAAAGTGAAAATGAATACAAATGTCGTCTGAAGACTAGTTTACAGGCTGTTATTCAAATAGACAGAACATTCAAATATAGAAAGCAAAGCAAATGATTGACAGATTTACAATTTTTAAGTAAAAACTCCTTTTTCTAATTACTTTTTCAGAAATGCATATAAAGTTCATTGGAAATTACATTATATTTAGAAGTTATTGCATTAAGTATATTACTATGACAATAAAATTTATCACAAATGTTGTTCGAGGTGAAGTTAAGTGTGGGATGGAATAACAAGTGTAAGGAAGAATGACACAATTTATTTCTGTTTGGAAAAGGTTAATTTCTTTTTTAAAACAACAGTTGTTGACTTAACTAACCACAGGCCCTACACGCCCACACGGTAGGGTTTTTTTCCCTATGAAATTCTGTGGAACGGAGCACACGGTGGACGGTCTTCTTCCTGAGGGAACAGGCAGCAGAAATGGAAGGAATGCTCTGCTTGGCTTCAGCTTAACATTGCACATTCCGCCACGCTGTTTTGCATTTCACATTCCAGGTTGCGTCCTCTTCACAGGCAATTCCAGGGGTAGTTTCATTAAATTGATGAATTCGAATTGCAAGAATTTTCTTGGATCCACACACAGACCCACAATGACCGCCCTAGAGAGACCCCAGTTTCCAGACTGCTGACTTACTCCAACCTCAAAGGGAGGTCTTGCCTCCACAACCCAGAAAACCAAGAAGTTCGGAAAGCGAAGCGGTAGGAGGTGCAGGTCTCGCCCCTACGGGCCTAGGATCCGCCCT